GAGAGGGGAAAGATTTAAAAGGGGCCTGAGGGGTAACCTTTTCACAGAGGGTGGTGCGTGTATGGAACGAGCTGCCAGAGGAAGTGGTGGGGCTGGTACAATTACAACATTTAAAAGGCATCTGGATAGGTATATGTATAGGATAGGTTTATAGGGCTATGGGCCAAATGGTGGTAAATGGGACTGGATTAATTTAGGACATCGGGTCAGCATGGACAAGTTGGACTGAAGGGTCTGTTTCCGTGCTGTACAAAGCTATGACTCTACGTTTTGGGGACCCGGGTTTGAACCTGCCACAGTAGATGGTGGAATTTGAATTCAATGTAAAAAACAATTTGGAACTAATCATGACTGTTATCGACTGTCAGAAAAACCCATCTGGTTCACTAATGTTCTTTAGGGAAGGAAATTGCCCCGGTTTGGCCTGTATGTGACTCCAGACCCCACAGCAATCTTAACTACCACCTGGGCATTTGGGGACAGGCAATAAATTCTGGTCTGGACAGTAAATCACACATCCTTTTTGGAAAGAAATCTGCAGGTCTTACCTGGCTCTCTTGCCACCCCTGTCCCTACCTGCGCCTAACTGCCTCTCCCTGCCCCCTTCCTTACCTGGGCTGACTCCCAACCCCGACTCGGTCTTCCATGGATCTCTCCCCTTCTGACCACTCCCATTCACACCAGAATGAAGTGCCAACAGATGTCCACACTGCTGAAACTTCTGAAAGCCTCTCCAAACTGTTCAATCCAAGGCAGCAAACCCAGCTTACAATAGCTGTTCACACATCCAACATCAAGGCACAGAACTTACTCTCCAACTTTCTGAAGGTCCCCTCCTCTCCCTGTGTAGAGCGTCAGACATCCTTTCCAAATGGAGGCATACCTGCAAAATGCAACAATATTTTCTTTCACCACCAGAGGGCTCTGAATGGCTCATGCTGATAGCACAGGGGTGGGGAGAGGAGACTACAGCTAAATTATAAGAGCAGCAGTGCTGCGCACTGTTCTTTCACCTTTGAAGTGAGACTGAAAGGAGGGAATAAAGCAAAATAAAACTGTGGATGGTGAAAATCTGAAACAAAATCAAAAACTGCTGAAGAAATCCAGCAGGTCTGGCAGCGTCTGTGGAGAGAAAGCAGACCTATTATTTCGAGTCTGGTGACTCTTCTTCAGAACTTTGTTTGAAAAGGAGGGAATCCTGTTTTGGACAGAGTGAGGAATACCTTGGAATATTTCCCCTAGGTATTATTGTACAGGCAAAAAACCCCTGGGAGCATTCAAGAAACAACCAAATGTAACAACAGAAGAAGAGGGAATGGCACTGATGAACGAAGGTGAAACACTCAATTATCAAGAACTTCCAAAGTGCATAGTCACCTTTGCACTGGGGTGATGGTCATCAAGCAAGGACACTTACATTTTGAGGAATAAGAGAACCAGCACCAACAGACAAATTTTCTTGGAGACAGTAAGGACTGCAGATGCTGGAAGCCAGAGTCAAAAAATGTGAAGCTGGAAAAGCACAGCAGGTCAGACAGCATCCGAAGAGCAGGAAAGTCAACTGGGGAGGGGGAGGGGGAGCCCAGAAATAAATAGAGGGAGGGGGTGGGGTTGGGGGAAGGGTAGATGGGATAGTGATAGATGGATGCAGGTAGGGGGTTATTGTGATTGGTCAGTGGGAAGGGTGGAGCAGATAGGAGAGTAGGAAGATGGACAGGCTAGGTCTGGTCAGGAGTGGGAGGGCTGGACATGGGATGAGGCTGGGGTGGAGTCTACTTGAACGTGGTGAAGTTCACGTTAAAGCCAAGGTGAAATAATCGGGTGTTGTTCCTCCAGTTTACGTTTGGCCTCACTCACACCAGTTGATTTATGTGCCATTTCACAGAGCAACCATTGTTCACAGATACTCCCAGAGGGGATTTTAGTGATATGGTCAGGTAAGAGAAGCTGGGATTGTTCTCCTCAGGGTGAAGGAGGTCAGGTCACGAAGATTACAGGGTTGTGGCAGGTTAAAATGAGGTAGAGTAAAAAGAAGGTGCTCTCATTGTCTAATGATACAAGGACTGAGAAGCACAGTTTTAAGATTTCAGGCAAGAGATTTAGTTTGGAGGTGGAAAGAATTCTATGACAAAGAAATTCTTTATGCAGCAAGTGGCGATGACCAGGACGTTCCTGCCTAAGAGGGGGTGGAAGCAGAGGCAATGAATGATTCAAAAAGGAAAGAAATAAAGTTTGGAGGAACAATGGAGTAAGAGTCATGAGAGGGGTTGGTGGTGGGATGGAACTGAGACTGACTAGGTTGCTCTATAGAGAGCCGGCATTAACTCGATGGCTGAATAGCTTTGTAGGCAACACACAAATTAAGGAGAAAGCAGGAGTTTTGAGTCATTCCATCATACATTATGCAAAATAAAAATTGTTCTTGACTCAAAATATTCAATCCTTGCTGTGTGCCACACGATAGGAAGGAGGTGACTGCATTAGAGAGTGCAGAGGAGATTCACCAGGATGGGGTTGTTTTCCTTAGGGCACAGAATGGAAGAAAACTGCAGAAAGCTGCAATACAAAGGGACTTGGGGGTTACTTGTACAAGAAACACAAAGCCAGCATGCAGGGGACAGCAGATAATCAGGAAGGTTAATGGAATGTTGGCCCTTATTTCAAGGGGTTTGGAGTATAAAAGTAGGAAAGTATTACTTCAACTGTACAAGATGCTGGTGAGACCGCATCTAGAGTACCGTAAGCAGTTTTGGTCCCCTTATTTAAGCAAAGATATCATTTTATTGGAACTCCTTGCCACAGAGAGCTGTGGGGGCAGAGTCCTTGTGTATATTTAAGGCTGAGACAGATAGATTCTTGATCAGTCAGGGAATCCAGGGAAAGGGCAGGAAAGTGGACATGAGGAATGTCAGATCGGCACAATTCTACTGAATGGCAAAACAGGCTCAAGGGGCCAAACGGCCTACTCCTGTTACTATTTCAATTGGCCTCAGAAAGCAGAGGGCATTCGGCTGACTGAGGTATACAAAGTTATATGGGCATGGACAGGGTAGATAGGGGAAAAGTTTCTCCCTTAGTAGAAGGGTCAATAACCAGATAGCACTGTTTTAAGGTCAAGACCAAAAGGTTTGGAGGGGAACAAAGGATTTTTTTGTAAAACCTAGAAGGTGGTGGGTATCTGGAGCTCTCTGCTTGAAAGAGTGGTAAAGATGGGAACTGTCTTAATATTCCAGTATTTAAATGATTACTTGAAATACCATAACATACAAATATACAGGCCAAGTGCTAGAACACGGTTTTGGAGTAGATAGGTGCCTGATGACCAACATGGACATGATGGGCCGAAGGACTGTATGACTCTATAGTGCTCATGGCTTGCCCCCAGGCACAGTTTAGCATACCACAGCACAAAGCCACATGGATCAGTACATTCCCAGATCTGTTCTTATTCATCCTAGGTGATATAGGGGGACTACACCTAGCTTCAGAATGCCTGGGTTAGAGAGGGTGTAGGGGCTTTGATCAGGGATCCCTGTAACCAACTAATCCTGTTGGAAAGTGCTGGTAAAGGTGTCAGTTGAGAACAGGAACACACTTGCCTGCAATAGCTCAATGGTCAGAGTCCGGACTCAACACAAATAATAGTCAGAACACCATCTTAACAATGCTCGCCGCTATCTCAGGTCAACCAGGAATCAACAGTAAATGCAGCCTTGCATCTATCCTCCAAATCCAAACAACAAATAGAAACTGGAATATGAGTGACCTAGAAGGGGGTCTCCTAGTCAAGGAGGGGGGGGGGTAAAACTTGCAGTACTTAATGCATTCACATTCATTGGAGGATAGCAGCACCTTCCAAACCTGCTACCTCTATTACCCAGAAGGACAAGGGCAGCAGAGACATGGGATCATCATCATCCGCAAGTTCCCCTCCAAGACAGAGGCCATCCTGACTTGGAAATACGTTGACCCAGTGACACTGAAAGAATGGCAAAGTCCTGGAATTCCCTCCCTAACAGCATTGTATGGGTCTACCTACACCCCATGAACACCAATGGTTCAAGAAGGCAGCTCACCATCACCTTCTCAAGGGCAATTAGGAATGGGCAATAAATGCTGCTAGTGGCCAGTTAGCGAACCTCATGTCCCATGAATTAATTTCAAAAATTGTTTGCTGCACGTTTATCAGGCATTTGTGAAACAAAGCGAGGTACCCTCTGGTCAATCGAATGATATCTCCAGCCTGAATCAGACTTCCCACATCATCCCACACCGATATGTTGATGCTGCCAGTTTTATCAGCCACCTTACACGTCCTGACTTCATGTCCGTCTTTTGTTTTGGTCACTCGTCCTACAGAACAAGAAATACAATGGCAGATGACTTAATAGCATTCTGACGAGTACTAAAACAAAATGCTGGGGATGTTTTCTGCCCCCAAAACTCCATGCATTTTTTGCATCATCCTTACCATGAGTGGAAACAAGAGACTTCCATCCCTGCTCAAAATGAAAATGACAGGCATTTGGATAAAACAAATTCTGGCTCACCCACAGGCAAATTAGTATAAAAGCCCAAAGTGGTTCACCACTACAATGCACGGAAGGGAATCTACTACCCTTACTAAGTCTTATGCACACATCGTTTCAGTGCAAAACTGCAATTGATTTTAAATGCTTTTTCAAAGCAACGAGGGACGTAAAGTTCCCAGTCTCAACTGGTGGCTTACATCAAGTTTATTAATCTTAGCAACCCTACCATCATTCTACTGAAAAGTCCATTGAGGAAAGGCAGGATTGGATTTGACTGATATATCTTTTGAGGAAGGGAAGGAAACATAATATCTCATTTCCAGAATTTACCTATTTCCAGGACAATGAACAGGAGATTCAGGTTTTTCAAACCTGCTTTGATATCCTTCACGTAAGTGTCGTTTGACATCCTCTCTCCCACAACAGGATCTGAATTCTTTTGGAGCTACAAACTTCAGGCAGCCAGTCAGAAGGATCAAGCTCAGAAGAACACATCCAGCTTACTGGAGTGAGTTTACTGGGCCAAGAGCAAATCTTCCTCCTACAAACCCAACGCAGTGAAGCCTTCCGGCTCCCCGTCCCCAAAGCCGCTGGAAAAACTGCACGAGCTGACGGACACCTCAGACGTTGCTCAATCTACCTCCTCAATGTTCGCGAGAACACCATCAGCCAGCCAGCCCGCCCTTCCCCATCGCCCTGGAAACCAATCCTGACATGCAGCAGCTCGGACCAATCAACAACCGCTCTTCTCCTGTTCCCGCCTACTCACGTTCCAGAAGGCGGGACATCCGCTGGTACCATCGCGTCCAGCGCGTTTCTGGCAAGGCCCGAGTGGGAGCCGTGTCTGGCCATTAAACGGGCAATTCTTATTTTATATATAATTCATTCATGGGATGCGGGCGTCGCTGGCAGGGCTGGTGTTTATCACTCTACACCGTTAGTGCAGTCTCAATCAATGGGTAGGAATCAGAACAAAACCAAAGTTGCTGGAAAAGCTCAGCAGGTCTGGCAGCATCTGTGAAGGAAAAACGTTTCGGGTCCAGTGACCCTTCCTCAGAGGGGCAAGGCTATCAAAGGAAGGGTAGGAATCAGAAAGCTTCTCAATCAGATCTGCAGTGAGGCAGGGCTGCCCACTCTCTACTGCCTTGTTCGTGTGTTGTATAGAGCCCTTTGCTGAGTCCATCCGGAAGAATACAAGCCTGACAGGGGTGACTGTGCCAGGCAGCAGAGGCCTGCAGGTCAAAGCCTCCCTGTACATGACGACATTGCTGTTTTCCACTCTGGTCTGCTCATGTGCAGGCTCATGAGCATCTGTGACCAGTTAGAATTGGCCTCAGGTATTAAGCTAAATTGAGGCAAGAGTGAGGCCATATTCTTTGCGAACAGGGCAAACAGATCCTTTCTCCACTTCACCATCAGGACAGAATACCTGAAGGTGCTGAGTGTATGGTTCAGAGGGACCAGAGTGCAGACAAAATTCTGCAAAGAGTGCATTGTCAAGGTGAGGCAGAAACTGGGCTTATGGGAGCACCGCTCCCTCTCCATTGTTCGTAAAAACCTGGTTGTCAGATGTGAGGTACTGTCCATGTTATAGCACTTGGTGCGGGCCTGGCCCATTCCCCAAACTTGTAGCCTTAGCGGTCACCTGAACCATCTTCCATTTCATCTGGAGGTCAAAGATGTACCAAGTCTGCAGGGACACCATGTACAAAACTCTGGATAAGGGGAGGAAGGACTTACCCTCATCCTGATGGCCACCTTTGCGTGTGGCTGCATCAAGCAGTGCATAGACTCTTGGTGCGCAAACACCAAGTGGTCGCTATGTTATGAGGTTCTACCTGTCTTTGGTGTTGCAAAGGATGGGTCTGGCCTCAGCGCTGCAGAACACTCCAAGTCGTTGGACCTTTCCGTATCACCTGTCCCTCGTGGAAGAATTTGCAAAGAAAAATACCTTTGACCACAGGTCCACCAGGCATTGGTCAGCACATAGCATCCTTGAGGAAAGGGTAGATCCTGTTGTGTAGTTTCCTGAGCAGACTGTCAAAGACAAAAGAAAAATTACTGCAGAAACTCAGTAGGTTTAGCAGCATCTGTGGCAAAAGAAACAGAGTCAACGTTTAGAGTCCATTGACCCTTTAGAACTTCTTCAGATCTTCTGTCTCCTTCCTTCAGTTCTTCCCATCTCCCATCCCATTCTCACAAAAGGGTCATGGCAATTTTCACTTCTTGAAATAGGTCTCAGTATTTCGGAAGCACTTTGCGACAGTAGAGGTCATGGATTTGGAAGGTGGCAGAGAGGGATGAATGACAATGTCACTGTGAAAGGACTACGTCATACACTTGGTCCATACCAACTTAAAAATTGTTCAAATTAAATTCAATGAAATTATAATTATGTGAAGAATGACTGGCCTTTATATATAGCTTTTAATGTAATAAAATATCCCCGTGAGTAATCGACAAAATCTGACACTGAGCCACATAATGAAATATTTGGTAAGATGACCAAAAGCTGAGTCAAAGAGGTTAGTTTTAAGGAACATCTTAAAAGAAGAAAGCAAAGAGGAGAGAGGGTGATGGAGAGGTTTAGGGAGGAAGTTCCTGATCTCAAGGCCCAGACAAGTGAATACATAGCCACTCTTGGTGGACCAATGGAAATCTGGGGTGTGGGGTTTGCAACAATTGGAGAAGCACAAAGATCTCACAGGATTGAAGGAGATTACAGAGATAGGGGGCAAGGCTATCAAGGGAATGTTAAAAAAAATTTCAAAGACACCAAAACGCTCCTCGATGTGTGGTAAGCATTGATATTGGTGACTGGGAAGAGCTGAACAAATTGTTCAAAATGGCGGCAACTTGTCCATCAAGCTGTGTCATAGTTCGCGTCTGAGTGCTGTAATGATAAGGCAGAGTGGCAGGAGAGAAAGGAAACTGCACTCCAGATCCCACCACCTTGAGGATCATCCTTTCCCACGTTTTCAGTGATATGTGGTTTGAGAATTGACCTTCATAATCCCATGAAGACACATGGCTGAAACCTGCAACCCTGAGTAGACATCACCCTCCAACTGAAGGGCAGCTGATGACGATATAGCATCAAATGGAATCCATCAGTGATGTAAGACCTGAAACATGCCATTGGGCATCATGTGGTTCCTCTGAACTGAAACAGGGGCCTCGAGAGGGAGAAGGGATGTGAGTCTTTGTAGACATGTGATATCACATAAATATGATACCTAGAGCATTGTGGAGATTATTTGCAGGTTTTGATTAATTAGGAGCAGGAGTAGACCATTCAGCCCCTCTGGACTTCTCCACCATTCAATAATATCATGGCTGATCTGATTGTGGCCTCAACTCCACTTTCCTGTCTGTCCCTGACAACCTCTGACTCCCTTGTTAGTCAAGTTACCTGTTAGTTATTTTGTCCTTACATTTTATTTCACCACGCATTGCAGTATAAGAATCAACTGTCATTGAGTTTTGCCCCCTAGATAACCTAGTCATTTAATTAATTGCTATTTGCAGGAGCTTGCTATGTGCAAATTGGCTACCACATTTTCTACATGACAACAGTGACCACACTTCAAAAGTACTCCATTAGCTGCCAGGCACTTTGGGATGTCTTGAGGTTATGAGAGGTGTTCTATAAATGTAAGTTCTTTCTTTCTTTGCTTGGATGTCATGGTGAACTGTAATGGGCAGTAGTGTCATTGTCAACTAAAATAAGAAAAAATTATCTTATAGACGAAATTCAAGAGGTGAGACAGATGTTAAAATTATTTTTGAGACTAAAGTAGCATTTTGGGAAAAGTTCAAAACAAAGGTTTAAAGTTTCAGATGTTCTTCAATGCCCAATCTATTATTGTCTGGACATGTAGAATGAAATTTCTTCTCAAGAACCAATTTTCTTCTCATAAACAAAATAGAACTAAAATTAGAGACAAGGTGAGAATTAGAAACTTTCTCAATGAAAACCAAACTGATAAGACAGCAACTTCTCAAAATACAATTAGATGATTTGTTTGGCAAGGGGAATTTTTAAAAATTGTATAAACAGGTAGTTTAATATTCCGTGTGGAGCTGTGACGTAGCTGAGAGGTTGATGTGAGTCCATAACCTCAGAATGTAAAGCTTGCTTCTATCTGGAATGTTAGTTGAACTCCTTATGATGTGTTCCCGCGAATAACTCACTCCTACACAACTGTTAATTGGGTTCTATTACTATCTATAGGTGGTTTGCAGTGTTGGAAAAGTTACCTTGGCCTGTTAAATTGCCCTATGATCTTTGTATGTTATGACCTGCCTGTACTGCACGCAAAACAAAACTTTTCACTGTAACTAGATACACGTGGCAATAATAAATCAAATCAGTGCTGGGAGGTAAGCTTGAAATTTGGGAACCTGGATGAGGAGGAGAGGAGATCTGGGATGAAGGTGATTTTGGGGTGAATGATGAGAGGGAGTTTGAAAAGTGGAATGAGTCAAATTAGCCTGTCTTCCCAAAAGCTTGTAGTTGAAGCCCAGTTTTATGTCATCTGTGTTTGCTCAGGCTGGTTATATTTTTCCTACCTATTGAACACACACTGGAAATAGCTACATTATATTAAAATAACATAACATAAAATATGAGGGTTGGTACCAGGTGTAATCTTTAGCTGAAGAGAGATTAGAGTCGTGGAGTTAAAAGTATCAGGGCAGTCCTCATTTTAAACTCACACATTGTCTTCATGATTTCATATACTTTCAATCAATAAACAAATCAATCAATCATTATAAATTCCCGTATCTGCATTTCAAATAAAAATTGTCAGCATAAACTGAAATTGTATAAAACATTTGAATATTTTATTATTTTTGAATTGCATTAATTTCAATTTCTCTGCTATTTCTGTAGGATCTTGGCTGATCCGACATTCCTTAAATCCACTTTTTTGCCCTTTCTCCGTAACCCTTGATTTCGTGGTTGATCAAGAATCTATCAATCTCAGCCTTAAATATACACAAGGATTCTGCCCTTACAACTCTCTGTAGCAAGGAGTTCCAAAGATTCTCAATCCTCTGAGCGAAGAAATTCCTCCTCATCTCAGTCTTAAATTGGCACCCCTTTATTCTGAGACTATGGCTTCTGGTCCTAGACTCTCCCATGAGTAGAAACATCCTCTCAGCATTTACCATGTCAAGCGCCTTAAGAATCCTATATATTTCAATTAGGTCACCTCTCATTCTTCCACTAAGTAGAATCCCAAACTGTTTAGCCTTTGCTCATAAAACAATAATCCCCCCATACCAGGGACTCATTCTAGTGAACCATCTGTGTTTGTTTCAAATCTCCAACATTCACAATATTTTGCTTTATTTACAGAAGTAAAGTTGTCTTGCTGCAATTTTGTAGCATTTCAATGAGACTGCACCTGAGTATTTTGTACAGTTTTGGTCACCTTATCTAGGGAAGGATGTTTTTAACATAGAGGGAGTGAAATGATGGTTCACCAGGTTAGTCCTTGGTATGGTGGGATTGAGGTGGATGTGGATAAGATGTTTTTGCCCTAGCTGGAGAATGGGGAGGTGTGGGCTAGAAGCAGGAGACATTGTCTTAGGATAAGGGGTAGGCTATTTTGAGAGATTTAGATGCACAGAGTGTCTTAGAGTCATAGAGTTATAGAAATGTACAGCACAGA